AATATCTTCTTATAAAGCAAAAAGAACAAAGCACAAACAGGCAACCTTGGCCAGGGTTATTAGAGGTATTATGGCCTTTTGCCCGGGAGCACTTCATCTTAGGTTGAGAAACATGTGCCTTTCCTCTTCGTACTTTCAAGATGATATGTATTTATGTTGTGTATATATGTAACCTGAAAGAGAGGATAACCTAGTCAAAAGGACCCTCCACTTTCAACCTTGAGATTGGAGTTCAAGTTACCAAGAAACGAACTAGGAATGGGCCATCATTGATTCCTGGGTAGAAGGGGTTTCTACGAGAGGGGAGGTATTGTCCATATTTAAAAAGGTTTATATATGTGGACCTCTTAATTTGATGAACCACACAATCAAAAAAAAAAAGGACAGCTCGGCGCACTAAGCTCCCGCTATGAACCAGACAATCACTTGTACATATATTTTTTCTCAAACCATATTCATGTGCTATTAATGAAAGCTATTTACTTATTTACAACTGGTAGTGCAGACTGTTCTATTTCATAATTTCTCCAGAGCTTTACAATTTTTTGAATCAGAGCTCGACATATCTCCCTTGCTTCTAATCAATAGATTTATTTTTTGAGCAATGTATTTCTTTAAGCCTGAAATGTTACTTTGTTTAAACTTGTCTGTTTCTACCTTCTGTTGGTAATTTTCTAGTGTATTTGTTTGCTCTTTTGCACCCATGTCTTCTATATTTTGTTTTCAGGCTTTTTAGCATTTTCGTACTATGATGCAGGTATAAATCTGTGGGCATTAGACTAGACTCTGGTGATCTTGCTTATCAGTCATGTGAAGCTAGGAAATTCTTTCGTGCTATTGAGAAAGAATTTGGATTGCCTGGTTTTGGAAAGATGAACATCACAGCTAGCAATGACCTTAATGAGGAAACTCTGGATGCACTAAATAAACAAGTAAGATCATGAGGATTACTACTTGTGCTATGTTATTCTGTTTTTTACGGTCTAGTCTCTGAATGATTTGTAGTCTAGTGGACACCTCCCTGTCTTTTTATGCTTCACTTTGTTGTTAATCTGGTGCCATTATTTGGATTAAGGGTATACATACCCTCGAAGTGCTAGTAAATGTATTTCAACGCATATATTTCTATCAGCTGTGAATGAAGTATGAATAGGAAATATCCTCTAACTTGAATGTTGAAGTTGGCTTAAATTAGCCCCCTCATGATTTTGTGGACACAAACAATTCTTGTAGAAATAAATCAATAACCTCGTTAGCGGTAGATAAAATCACATCTCCACTTACTCCTGGTTAATGGAATTGTTGAAAGACCAAATCTGCCTACATTAGATTATGGAAGCGTGAGCAGTGAGTACTCTACCTAACTTGATGTCTATTCACTAGAGAACCCTCAAATTAATTTGAGTTTATAGCTTGAATGTTGGTTCTCATACCTGTTGACTTACGTTTTTCTCCCTCAGAAAAGCTGCATCAACTAACTTATTTTCTAAACAGGGTCATGAGGTGGATGCATTTGGTATTGGAACTCATCTGGTTACCTGTTATGCTCAAGCTGCTCTTGGTGTTGTTTTCAAGTTAGTTGAAATAAACAATCAGCCTAGAATCAAACTTTCTGAAGATGTGTCAAAGGTCTGCTGAAGCTATGGATATTCATTTGGCATTTAGATTCAGTGCAGAAGTTCATAACTTTTTTGTTTCTAGGTCTCTATTCCATGCAAAAAGCGGTGTTATAGATTGTATGGGAAGGAAGGATACGCCCTTGTAGACATAATGACTGGCGAAAATGAGCCACAGCCTAAGGTGATTTATGAGGCTTCCCTTGTTAAGCTCCTAATAGTTCTTCCTGATATTTCTTCCTTTATCAATATTTATTTAGAAATTAGTTTGTGGGTACAAAAGAAAGATAATGGACAAATTTTTTTTCCTGCAATTTGACAGGTAGGTGAACGAATTTTGTGCCGCCACCCATTTAGTGAATCTAAAAGGGCATATGTGGTGCCCCAGCATGTTGAGGAGCTTTTAAAGTGCTTTTGGCCTGGAAATTCAGGTAGGAGTTGTTATCTCTCCAAATGTATTAACTTTTTGGTTTAAATTATTTATTTTCTGCAAAAGCATGACCATACTTTACCGTAAATTCCAAAATATGTGTTGGAAGCCTATGTTGGCGACATTATTAAGTTCCAGCAAGACATGGAAAATTGACTACTTCTGCTTAGAACTGGTAGAACATACTTCTTACGACATATCCTGTTTAATCACGTTGGTTTTAGCTTCAACCATTTACTTTTAAGGAGGCTTTGATGATTACCATGCTCCTACAGTTCATACACAATGTTGACTAACGGATATTGGTTTGTCATTTCTGAAGATAAAACAAGAGAAGACCTTCCTCCGTTGAAGGAGATCAGGGAAAGATGTATTGAACAACTGGATAAAATGCGACCAGATCACATGAGAAGGCTGAACCCAACACCATATAAGGTAAGAAGCAAATGAGGGACTTCCACAGATTCATCAGATTTAATGAATTTTTGACTGAAGCATTGTTTTTCATTTTGCTGGTTTTGATTGCATATTTGTTGAGCAGGTCAGTGTAAGTGCAAAGTTATACGATTTCATCCATTTCCTCTGGCTCAATGAAGCACCTGTGGGCGAGTTGCAGTGACCATAAATGAACAGTTTGAGGACTTAAACTGGAACATCCGTTGGTTGAAAAGAGTCCTTCTAGACTTTCCGCAATGTGTATCTTTTTCCTCATGTAGTCTAAAATTTTCATAAAGAAACCAACCAAAGCAAAGTACTTTTCTTCTTTTTTTCTGATGCTGTTACGAGTGAAATGTATAAGCCTTTTTCAAATTTGTAAAAGTCAATAAAAGTGCGGTTGTTTTTCTTCCGCTTGCTTCTTTCTACTGCTAGCTTGTTACTTCAATGAAATCCTTTCTCAAAGATGAGGGGATAAAACAATCTATGGGCACAGAATATTGTTATGATTAAGGTAAGTGTGGCTAATTCAGTGACTGCAGAGAGTTTCAGTTTAGTTAATGAAAAATACTTATGGAATTTCATTACTCCGCTAGTTGGTTTGCTTGTTCCGATGCCAGCTAGACATTTTTCTTATTATTTACACGAGACATCACAATATTGGTAGTATTAGGCTTGCTAGAATGAGACAGTCAAATCCTTAAGCTGAACCCACCCGTAGGCACATCTATCCCGGAACTTCTGTACGGTTGATGCTGCTGCTTCAACCACGGGGCGTATCCTAGCAAGCTCCTTTTCTACTTGTATTCTCATGTTACTCTCTACCTGCCACTCAAAAGACCATTTCGAGATTAGCAACTTATTCGCCAGGGGAAAAAACAAAAAACGAAATACCATTTTGACGAATTCACAGACTAGAGACAACCTTATCTATGCAGCGAACAGTGTCTAAGATGTAGCAGAAATAAGCAAGCTGTCTGTAAAGATCTGCTTCCGTATACTGCCATGGTGCAACGTGCAAAAGTTTATCAGAACCAGCTAAAAAAATTACTGCAGGTTAACTAAACAGAGGAATCAAGCTATATATCAGAAAGTAAACCTGTCTTAGTAAATGCCCGTTACAACGGGGATAATTTGGACAAACAGTTCCCCTCTCAGATTCCCCAATTACTCGGAGGTTCAGGCTACGAGTTGTGTAGTTGCAAGTTTCGTCATCGCACTGAAAAGAATAAAATTGTCTAATTAGATTGTTGCTGTCTAAGCAAGCTCATCAGAGCAATAGGTGTAAAATATAAAAGCACATACCATCATCACTCCTTCATAGTATGTTGAGATAAAGCCTTCTACTTGCCTTTTAACCTGTCAAGGATGGCGTTACAACATCAGTCTACAGCATAGATGTATCAATCGGCCTGTCACTAATTATATAGCGTATATATGTAAACCAACATAGAATTTCTTTTCTTTTTCAGTCAAAAGAACAAGCAAATAAAGCGAAGCAAAAAATATCCTTCAAGTGACATTTTTCAACGCATTGATATAATTTTAAAAAAATGACGATTGCCAAAAGAAGAGAGGAAATCATGGAAATGAAAGGTAGATAATGCAAGAAAATGAGACTGATACCAAGTAAGGAATCAGGGGAAGGTTAACATGAAACCAAGAGAGAACCACAGAAGTAAACGTTTTGAATCAGAGAATCTAGAGATGAGATCGTCTTAGTACTTCATTGCCATCTATACTCATGGCGAGAAAGAAATCATATCAGTTGGGAAGAAAAATAGAAGGCACTAAGGCACTTTTCCATGATTATATGTTTAAAACATTTTGGACAGTACGGAACAGTTGAAACTCAAGACAGTACCTGGTTTGCTATCAACGCCGGTGATATATTCCCCTCACTCTCCTCTGGGCATTTGGGACAGCTAAATCTTTCCCAGAACTTGCTGGGAGCTCTTCCTACTTGCAGGTCTGCTGGCTTTTGACTAATTGATGAACATATAGAACTAAATATAGGTGTGCACTCAAAAGAGCCGGAGCAGCTGGGGCATGTCAAAGTCAAAGGCTCACAACCCCGATATCTGCATTTAGGATTGTCCGAAGAAAATTATGTTTCTTTCTTGAATGTTCATATAGCACAAAGATAGCATTTTAAAATGTACACTCAACTTAGTGAGACTCTGGGGGGGAGAGAGGTGAAGCAGGAAAAAAAGTGTGAAAGGAAACTGATACGATAAAGCAATAACTAGTATGAATTAAAGTAAATGAATGGAAAAAATCTTCAACCTGTACTAAAGATAAAAGGAAAACTAAACTTGTTTTTTTCCTTTCAGTTAAAATGAAGCCTAAAATTCATTTTATTATAACTACTGAAACACTATAGATGATTGAGAAAAAAATGCCGCTTACATCCCCCAAAAGCATTTGTGATGTATCTCTCAAAAAACAAATGCATGATCATGCATCGAGTTTATCAAATTGTTAGAACACTTCTCTGAAAGAAATTGATACCTCTCTTCATCATCTGCTGCACACAAAAGCAAGTTTGAGGGATCATCATTGACGGCTTCACTTGATTTATTTTGGAACTGACCAAAAAAGCCAAATCAGTAAGCTATTTGTCAAGACTATGCCATGTTGAACTAACGTCAGTTTTGAAAAGTTGCCTACCCTGGATGAATCTAGTCCTAAGCAATCAGCCAGACGTGCCGGGCTAGTACCCTGAATTGATGCACATAGACGAGATATTACAGGATGTATCTGTGACATTGAAATGGTTCACAGTTAGGTGGAGTCATGAAATATGCACAGCATAAGAAACCAACATTAACCCAGTAAAATTGAAGATCAATATAAGTAGACTGCAAAGACCTGTTGTGCAAGGTAATAATCAATGTCAACTATCCAGTTTCCATTGTCTCTTTTCAGTTCATCTGGATGTCTTGCCCGCTGAGCAATCCCCACAGAGGTACTTGAACCATTCCCCTGCAAATGTGTGAAAGAAATGCATTTTTAAGTCAACAGAAGCGAAAAGAATAAGCAGGATTTAATCATTGACCCAATAATAGGAAATAGACCTGCTCACAGCAGATGACATATGGTACTGTATCACCAGCAGAGCAACCAGTGACATAGCCACTTTTCTTCAACCTAAGTGCTACCTACAGGAGACGTAGAGGATGATAATGTTAAATCTTAATTTGAAATTAAGCTAAATGGTGACAAATCATAGAAAGGCAAAAGATGAGATGATTAGTGTGATACAGTTCCTTAGTCTGAACATGAATTGATCAAAGAAGTTTTTCTACTTACTTCAACATGAGGTTGACTTTTAGCATCAGGATAGGCTTCAGGTGGTTTAGTTAACGATTTGGTGATCACGTATTTTTCCAGTTCAATTTGCCCATTCCTCATATCCTCTTGTACCTGCAGTAGAACAGAGAAATTCAAGGATAATCACAGTAAGTTGGTATTAGGACCAGTTCACAAAAATAAAACTAAATTGTGCTGATTGCCTCTCCAGGTGCTAACAGTAGCAGCTGGATTTGCCCTCTACTAGAATGAAGAAGACTGGCTGTAGATAAAGATTCCAGGCTGCACATCAAAGTTTGGAACAATGCACTAGCAAGAAAATAGTTGAGATGCACAGAGGATGTATGGTAGAAAGCAGTAGCCGCTCAATGATTGAGGCAAAGAGGGGAGGGGAACCTACTTTATAAAGGAGGAACTCCCTAAAGAGAAGCCACAAGCTCAGAGTCATTCTTGGACATAGTATCAATTCTAAAGTGTATAACCTATAATATAAACTAAACTGTGCTCACTATGAAAACTTGAGGAGCCATTCAGCTCCTGGTTTATGATTTTCCATATCATTGAGAATGTTACCTTCATAAGTGCATTATGTATTGATTCAACAACATCTTCACAGGACCTGGAACCATTAAAGACACGTAAATCATTCGGTACTGAGCAAATCACATGTATGAGGATATGAATAGGAGAAAGAAACAAGTTCACAACAAAATGTACCCCCCGGACAGTATTTGGCTAAGGCAAAAATCTCCCAATTCCTTTGACAGCAAACTCCAGTCACGACGCACCATATCAAGACCTTTTTTCTCAATGACCTACACCAAAGAATCAGTGACATGGAGTAGTTAGGGAATTATTTGAAAGAAGTTCAAAAGGATTTCAACTTTAAGTAGCATGCAGTAGCTACCTCATAGGGTCTTCCGTCCTTAAACTGCACTTTTACAGCTGCATATTTCTTTTTCTTGAGAAGCAGCATTCTCTTGTACAGACCATCAAGATCAATCTCTAAGCACCTATATTTCTTGTTAACCTATAAAAGAGGAGGCACTTTAACATGATGAATTCTAGTTGATTTAGAAGATAATAAACCTAGCAGATCAATTTTCAAGAATCTATCTTTTAGACATATAAGAGAGTATGCATTTTTGCATATCGTATCATTTCACGGTAGAGCACAAAATAATTAGAACAATGTTTAAGTTTACGCCATTCTGGCCAGTAAAATTATGTGCAGATTCCATTTCTGCTTTCAAGTTGGTTGGATGCCTTTTCTTGCGATGTTGATTTGTTTGATATAATGAGTCTAACAACTGTGAATAAAAGCACAAAAGGCTTATTCGATCTCCCTATGAACACAAATTAATTCATTGTTCTAGTGTCAGTATAACTACTACTACATTATATCCCTATGGTGAGACTGCAACTAGACAAAGTCTCCTTACAAATATATCAGTACATACAATTTTAAATCCTTAGGTAATAAATATCTAATATAAGGCAATGAAAAATGCTTTGCTCGTAAAGAAAAGAAAGGTAAAAAAAGTGCAAGTGCTATCATAGGGTAGTGAGACAAGAAGTAGGCTTCCACAGTACATGAGGTAGAAAGTACAAGTTTCTTTATTTTTCTTTAAGAAGTCACCCGACATACAGAATTAATCCCAAAAGAAAGAAAGTATACAGCCAATACTAACCTCTTGAATGACTTTGGCTGCTATTGCTTTGGCTTTTCCAATGTCATCAAGTCCACTATAAATCATAATTGAATCTGTGTCACCATAGATAACCTAATTCATAAAAGAACAATGGGTTCAAGGACCAATTTTCATAAGCAAATACAGCAAATTGCACAAGAAGAAAACCTCCAGGTTTAGTGAAGTCTGAACTAGGTCAACAGTACTCTGTAAGATTTCCCTTCCCTACAAAACAAAATAGAGATGTCAGATATGCAGTCATAATCTGCTTAAATAAAACATACAACAGTTTACAAAAAGTGAGCTTCCTACTTGTGAGGTTATAAGCTCGGCTAACGACTTCGCATAGAATCTGGAATTGGAGAATCCTAGGCACCCATACATACTGCAGTAAAATTTTATCACCTCAGGAAAAATATCTCCAA